CCTGCGTTGTGTGGAGCGGGCTTCTCTGGCCGCAGACATGATGTGCATTTGAATCTGTCAATCCACTGAATCTCAGTGCTGAAACTTATAAAGACTGATCTGGGCCAGGGAAGAAAGAGCTGAGGCAGGCTGCTCCTTGGGGTTGGATGAAGGCAGGCAGGCAGAAGGAACAAGCCTCACTTCTGCTCCCAGCCCAGGCTGGCTGGACAGGAGGGAGAAGGGGGTTATTTTGGGGTTTAGGATACGGAAGGCTTGGGGGGGTGGTGCAGAGCAGTGGCTGCAGTTCTTCTTGATTGGCTCTTTGCCTCTGCACTCTTAAGTTTTTTCATATTGCTTCGATCAAGAGTTTAATTTTTTTGTGGCCAGCCACTTAGATTGACTAGTTCAAGATGGGCAGTAGCCAATTGCGTTAAAGGAATAAATCTACGGTCTATACTCTGCACAGGTGGGGGCTCGTCTCATCTCCCATGCAGGCAGCTTGACCAACCTGGCCAAGTACCCAGCCTCGACGGTTCAGATCCTGGGGGCAGAGAAGGCCCTCTTCAGGTAATCCGCTGGGCGGGCCGGCACACAGCTCCCCCCCAAGCCTTTGAGCTTAACAGGGACCCAGCACTGCTGCTGGCCAGGCCCCTCCTGGCCTGCAGCCAGACCCCTCCCTCCCTCCTCCCATGGGGATGGCCAACCTGGTGCCAAGGAGGTTGTCTGCATGGTTGTCTCCTGCCCTGCAGGGCCCTGAAGACCCGGGGAAACACCCCCAAGTACGGCCTGATATTTCACTCCACCTTCATTGGGCGAGCAGCGGCCAAGAACAAGGGGCGCATCTCTCGCTACCTGGCCAACAAGTGCACCATCGCCTCTCGCATCGACTGCTTCTCAGGTGGGCTGCAGGAGCTTCCAGGGCCCACCCTCGCCTTCTCCCCTTGGCTAGAGAGGGGAAGGGAGCCAGGACGGGTGCAACCCACCAAGAAGCTTTCTGCCTTTGCCATGATGGTTACATTTTTCGTCAGCAGCATTTCGCGCACAGCGAATGTTGACATCAAAAATATCTGAGCCGAGGCAGCAGCTGGAGGGACTTTCCAGTGGCGGCACTTCCGGACATACTGTTAGCAGCTTTAGCTCAGTCGGCCATTCTTCTCTCTCCCTTTCCAGAAGTGCCAACCTCTGTCTTTGGGGACAAGCTGCGGGAACAGGTGGAGGAGCGCCTGGCCTTCTATGAAACCGGGGAGGTTCCTCGCAAGAACCTGGAGGTCATGAAGGAGGCTGTGGAGGAGGTGAGGGCCAAGGTGGGAGGGGCCGTGGGGGGGGGCTTGCGCTGTTGGGAGTGATGAAAACTCAAAGAGCCTGACCAACCCTTATGCGTGGAGGCCAAAGCTGATTTAATGAGCCTGATCCAACCAAGCGCCCTTCGCACGATGCCGAGAGCGGCCTTCCTGGCAAGAAGGGGGGCGAGGGTGGTGGAGCCCAGCCCCAGTAACCGTCCTCTGCGCTCCGCAGGCTTCGGAAGTAGCAGCTGCAATCAAAAGGAAGCTGGAGAAAAAGCAAAAGAAGAAGCTGAGGCAGGAGAAGAAGCGCCTGGAGGCTTTGGCAGCGGCTGCAGAAGCAGCAGAGACGCAGAACTCCTCG